TCTAGTACATGTATATCTAGCTAGAATAACTAAAGCTCTCATCAGGAGACAAACTTACACGTCCCTTACATACTAATCTTTGGTGATCATAATGTCTTATCTTATCAGGGGAAAAAAATAGAACTAACCGGCTTCTTACAACTATTTCCAACAGCTTTTGACAAGGTCCTGAATCTACCAATTAGTAACAAGCAGTCAGTAACTGACAAAGAAATGTCAAGAAAATGAACGAAAAATAGACGAGATAATAGACGAGAAACAGTTAATACTACCAGACAAATGTACTACAATACTCAAGATATACTTACGGTTGACGCTGACAATACTTGACAGCCAAGATACAGGACAGGACGGCGAACAGGCCAGCAACAACTCCCAACACAACAACAATCAACTGGGCGTCTTGGCTAAGGACCGGCTCCTCTGTTGTCGTCTTCACCATAGGAGCTGGTGTGGTTGGTGTAGTAGTTGGTCTTGGTGTAGTCGGTCTTGGTGTAGTTGGTTTGGGTGTTGTCGGGCGAGGAGTGGTTGCTCGCGTTGTGGTGGTGGTTGTCACAGCTGGTTGGCTGGAGGTTGTAGGGGGGGCTGGTGTCGTAGGTAAATTACACAGTGGTGGAGCTATAAATAGGAAAAGACACTGTAAATACATCCTAGTTGATTTGTGGGGAAATGTTCAAAAACTGAGCTGTTTTCAGATGCATATAATCAAGATATGCATTTGTGTGTCTTAACCCATTCACCCTTGAAATTTCATAATGAACTATTCCAACCTTTGAATTGGAAGAGTTCAAATGTGTCTTCAAGGGTGAATGAGTTTATCTTTTTTTATTACAGATTAAAACCCTCAAGCATATGTCCTTTGAAACTCAGTACACTTATAATTACGTACAGCACATCATTCTTCTGTTGATGCTATGTAGTCTCTATGACCGCATATTAACTCATTCACCCCTGAAACTTCATAATGAACTATTCCAACCATTGATTAGGAAGAGTTCAAATGTGTCTTCAGGGGTGAATGAGTTAAGAAATTTGCTTGTACCTTTTGAAATTTCAATGTTCTTGATGAATTCATAAATGACATATAAATTAATTGATATTGGACTAGTTGTAAAAGGTAGGTGAAAACTACAAACCGATTTTCATTGTCCACCCCGTGTTTGTTAGAGAAGGATCGCAGTAGTGGCACTGGTCACCAGGTTTGTTGGAGAATGCTTCGTAGCAAACATTCTCTATCACACAGCCAGTAGTCTGAAAGGACGCCGTACAAATCTCAAATATTCGTTCCAAAGTTTGTATCAACAACTAAAAAACTCTAAACACATCTAGTTTATAATGAGAATCAGAGCTGCCAAAAGGTACCCATATTATTGATGTCTTGAAAAAAACATTATGATTTGAATATTTTTTTCATACATTAGTTGTTAGTTATTGAAAATTAACACTTACATTTCATCTCAAGAATGTTTTGATGTAAAATTTTAAAACAATACATTCACCCACCTGTGCAATTTGATTCCATCAGAACATTATATTTGCATACGATATTAAATATTAAAATTCTACATAACATGAGATATCAAATATTGTAACACCTTGTTAGTAAGTGATACTCACAGTGGTCGTACAGGCAGTTGTTGAACAGCTGTAACAGGCACTGTCGAAGGTGACCACCGTGTAATAGGGACTAAACTTAGCTCCATCATTACTGACCGCCACCTGTACGGCCGATTTGAGACTGGACGTCATCATGTCTGCAGGTACTGGACAGTTGATCTGTGTTATTGTAACATACTCAGCGACCACGATTTGCACAGGTCCAGTTGTAGTGGTACCGGCCTGATTGATCTGTCAACAAATGGTTAACAAAAAAGTGAAACAATTGCTTTTATTGACTGCCAAAAAAGACCATGGCCCTTTTCGTGTATCTGGTTCAACCTGGAAAGAAAACGCCAGGTGCAGATCTGAACCGAGGCTGACCTCAGGAATGCTCAGCAAGGGTAGATTCAGAGGGGTCCTTGAGACGTGCCTGACCGAAACTAAAATGCTGACTACTGCTAGTTTGCGTTATTTCTATATAAAGCGATGTCAAGCCACATGTAGACTTTAAGATATGTTATATAATTCAGTGGACACGTTTATTTTGCTGTGCCTACAGTTCAGTCCAAGTGCATTTGGTTAATCATGGAATATTTCTGCACCACCTGAACCGTTTCAATCGAGATACCTAAATGAAGCCTTTGGATACCAACGGTCAATCTGTCAAAAGAAAGTTCATGAAAATGTTGTTTTGTAAATAGTTCTATTGACAGCCTGTAAGTATAAGGATAGTAAGAAAATATCAGGATGTCTGTTCAGATCAAATCATTCCTGTGTGACAGTTTCATAATTTCACTAATTTCACCCCACGGAGATCAATCTCATGCGGGCTTAGTTAATAGATAAAGGAGAGTAAATTTAACTCTGTGACCTTGACCTCAGCAACTAGATTTACACCTGACACGCAATCATTTAGCCCGAGTTTCCTCTGGCCTTGACATCAGGCATTTTGACAGATAGCCTAGATGTCTGGTGACAGGGCCAGAGGAAACTCAGGCTAGCAATCATCCCAAGATGCAACAACACATGAATGGCCAGTACAAAAATGTGAGAAAACTATGGCCAGAAAGCAGGTCATGGGAGAAGGAAATACAAGTCACTGTAGCTTTGATTTATTCAGTCGACAAGTACCAAATAAATTTGAAAAAGTCTATCCTGATGCTGTTGTGATTGATAACTCTACCTGACTCTAATCTTAACAATATCCAGTTGAAAGTAAAGGACCTTAACCCTTTCACCCTTATGTAACTTTAATAGACTCTACCATGCATAGATATGAATGAGTCTATTATGGTCTACAGCGGTGAAAGGGTTAAGAATTACCCAAGAACAGAGGAACTTGCATGGAGATACCAGACAGTTATGGCCATGAAACAATTGCCATGGACAGAGATGCATGCGGCCAGGAGTACTGCTTATCAAACGTTTTCAGATGGGAGTTTAATGATTTAAGAATATTGTCACAACATCTACTAGTATACCTACAGTGAGAGCCTGGAAGTGGCATGAAGGTGTCTTCTGGTCACTGAAGTTGTCACCAAGAACTGTGATCACAGCACAGTCGGTGCTGCCAAGGGGACATAGTCCATTGTTCTCCACACTCGAGACAGTTGGAGGCTGGTTCCCGTCAATGGAGCAGTCGACGCCAAGCCAGCTCTGTTGACACTGGCAAGTACCTGTATACACACAAACAAATATATCAGTCAGCTGCCAGGTCTACGTAATGTTTCTAGCTAGGAAAACTGAAAGTTCATGTTTGAAAAATTTCAACTTTGAACTACTTTAAAATCAAAATATTGTCCCAGGAAATCAGATGTCGAGATGAAACTTGACGTACCAGCACTACAGATACCATTGCTTCCGCTACAGTCGTTTGGACAAACAAAGTTCAGGATGTTTGTCGCAAGTTGAACCAATGTGATGTCCGTGGAGCCGAGTAGTTGTCTGGCCTCAGACTCGCATTGCCCGATATACACAGCTAGCGTATAGGTGGCATCGATTGCAGAATCAGTCAACTACAGAAGGAAAACAATTGTATATCATTACTAAAAAGGTTCAAGTCTCAACCACAAACAATCTCCTTTAAAAAAATATATGGCATTGTTTCAAAGTTTGTTAGCCCACAAACCTAATTCATTAAAAAGGAATAAAACTATTTTATTGCTACATGTAGTACTACCAAATTCGACCCTTTCCACATTCAGGCTTACAGACAGGTACAGTTATGACCCTTGCCTATAAAATCTGTCTTTTTTCTCTCAGCATAGGGTTGTCACTGATAAAATATAATAAGCTTCACTTGAAAGCATTATATTTCAATATTTACTTAGACGTAACTAACAAATTTGTGTTATACTACCTAGTAAAACGGTTATTACTGGCTAACATACCGAGATGAATTTTATGGTGTTTAAAGGAATCAATTTTTCTTTGTTCATTAATCAAGAAATGCTGTCATCAACATCCCTCAATCACTTAACAAGAATTCACAGGAGTGGATGTGTCGCCTGCTCAGTGCTTTTAGTAAGAAAAGTGTTATGGCTTGAGTTATCGTGTAGACAGATATGCCAAAACGTGGAAAGTTGAAATTCAACAGAAAAACCTGTAAGATATGTTGAACATTATTGCTTCTAGAATTGATTAAAGAATAGAAAAATTCTTGCATTTACTACCTAATGCCTACCTAATTTATTTGGCAATAAAACGGCCATAACTCCATCAAAAATGCACCTTAACTTCTGGAATGCGAACTTGACCAAGCTATATCGGTATGCAATATGTGTACCAAGTTTGAGTTCAATCAACCCAAGGGAACTCAAGTTATTGTATGGAAACCTTGTTTCGGACGATGCAACTGATGACGCCGACAAAGTAATACCTATACATCGCCTTGTGTTGCAAGCGACACAAAAATCAGGATTTGAGTCTGAAGTTATAATGTACCATACTGTATAAATGCCAGTGGTACAATTTATAATTGCTATATTCATATAGGAAAGGTATGGTGCAATAGCGGATATATAAACAGGTTTTTGGATACTGCCGAATGATGACAATATTCCTTTAGTAATGTGTATAAAACAATAGTACTAACATGAATGGTATTTTAACTGCAGCAAAATGATGTCAGACGTATTTATTTTACAAAATTCTATATTCCTAAAAAGTTTAATCTGTGTAGCAATTACAGGTACCCAGATATGGGCAAAACCATTCTCCTTAAGCTAATTATACACAAAGTAAATTTCATTTTTTATCAAATAACAGAAGCGAAGAAGTCCTTCAAATTAAGCATCGTCATAGTATGTGTTAAGAGGACCCCTGACTGCATCATTTTTAACGGTCCCAACAATGACAGAACCAGACTTTAACTCATTCACCCCTAAAAGTTCAAATTGAACTATTCCAACCTTTGCATTGGAGGAGTTCAAATGTGTTTTCAGGGGTGAATGAGTTACTATGTACCAGGTTATCAATATGAAGTTTCATTACCTTGATTTTGTCAATGCACTCCTGGATGACAGTGTCAGTGGGTAAGGAAAAGCCCGGAATCTGCTGACAGAGGCTTATAACTGCCTTAGCATTCACTTGTTGTTGACAGAAAGCTGTGGCTAAGTCGAGGTTGTAGGTCCTGGTCTGGTTCCATGTGGGTTCTGTGACCTGTAATTATCATAAATGAAAGTAATATTGAAATATCATTATGCAGTTCAATGCACTTATTAAAAGTAAACATATATTGTATAATTGATGACTTAATATTAATCGTAAGAAGGGTACATCTCGCATAACTCCAACTCCTGGTCAAGCCAAAGATATTTATGTCAAATGCATTCCTCCAAACTCCAGATCTAAAGTTAAATACATTCCTTCAAACTCCAGATCTAAAGTCAAAAACATTCCTTCAAACTCCAAATATAAAGTCAAGAACATTCCTTCAAACTCCAGATCTAAAGTCAAATACATTCCTCAAAACTCCAGACTTAAAGTCAAATACATTCCTTCAAACTCCAGATTTAAAGTCAAAAACATTCCTCCAAACTCCAGATCTGAAGTCAAATACATTCCTTCAAACTCCAGATTTAAAGTCAAATACATTCCTTCAAACTCCGGATTTAAAGTCAAATACATTCCTTCAAACTCCAAATCTAAAGTCAAAAACATTCCTTCAAACTCCAGATCTAAAGTCAAATACATTCCTCCAAACTCCAGACTTAAGTCATATACATTCCTTCAAGCCCAAACTCCAGATAAGTTAAATACAACACTCCTTACTCAAAACCATCTCCTTATAACTCTTATTCAAGAAAAAGCAAAATACATCGATCCTACTCCAAATTTAATACAAATGTATACGGCAGATTCATCCCTCCTAACCTTAAACCACTGTATGTGCCCTTCTTTGGTAAAATTCATATTTGTCCAGTGTTAATTTTGGTTTTCACAAGTTTTTAGTTTAGATGTAACGCTGGGTACTAAAATACACTGTCATAATAAATTTACCCCTTGTACAGTTGACAAGAAAACGTCAGTTAAACGTCAGTGAAAGTTTTCTGGTATACAGATTTTCAAGTTCAAATACACTTCTCCTCACTCAAACTATGTTCAGCTAAACATGCTTTACGCAGGACCCAAGGAATAAATAATTATACCGATCTACTAAATAGACTAGCCAATTCTATTGCTATATAGTATGTATACAGTCGATTCTCAAGCAGGGCGATGACCACCCCCTATAGTAATCATCTCTTTATATTGACTGACTTTAAGACTCCTCCATGTATTTTTACTATATATAGTGACAATGTCCGTAGCTTAATTTCTACCCGTCCTGGTAGAAACAATTAGTAAAAACTGTAAACACATGAAATTTTCGTCAAATATTAAATTCGCCCTTCACATTTAATTTCTATGTTTATTATATTGTTTACAAATGATGAATTAATCCTTGTTACGAAGGACGAAAATTTAAACTGCAGCGAAAATTTCCCAGTATACAGCAGTCAAAATCTTCTAAATGTTTAAACACAAACCATGATCACAAGTCAATATTCTACAAAAATTACCAAAGTTAATGCAAATGCCAGAACTTTTTCAAAACAATACATCATGACACTGTGTTCTTATCCATCCATCCATCCATTCAATACCTTAAAAACCGCCATGCAGAGTACCTAATTTCACGTATGTTCCCACATTACAAGGGAAACTGTCCCATCGGCACCTGAAAGATATCCCCTCGTCCTCAACATTTACTGGTAAAAACCTTATATGTCAATCCTACATACTGGTTAATAATCTTATATTTTGTCTCCTACCGAATCATCATAGGTTGGGTCAATCTCAACACCATCGAACAATCCCGTTCCGGCCTGTCTCCTCTTCCTGTCGCAGCCGGTGACGATAACAGCAGCACCCTCCTTCAATGCATTTGTGATGTCAGTACCTACAACACAGTATGGTCAGCAAGTGAATCTACAGAACATACGTACAGTTTCAGAATTATTTTTTTTTTCAGAATCACAGGAGGACAGCAAAAAACACTTTCAGAATCGCAGGAAGACCACAAAAAATACTGAAAAAGTGTTTAAATCAAACCTACCAGCCAAAGGTGAAGCACAAGAGTCCACGAGTGTGTTACGAGAGACACATTGCGGTGGGGATGAGCTACCAGCATTGCTGCCACAGCTACAGAAGGTATTCGTTGGGAAGTCGGAGCTCTTCAGGAACAAATCCGACGAAGATGCCCTAGGGATTGAAAGTGAACACACGCATTAAATTCTCATTCTGAATTGATCAAAACCATGACACCAACTTAACTACAGAATTTGAGAAAAATATGACATTGTAGTTGAGTTACAATTTAGCTTAAGTAATGTGCTTTATAAATTACCCTTACAGGTTTTTACTTGTCACCATCCATGCAAGGACAAACTAAAATGTCAGCACTTCCTTAGGTTTTGGGAACATCTCAAAAGCATACTGAATAGTTGAATTTATTTTGTTTTTTTAATCTCGATTGAAAGAATTTTTAAGTTTGCATTGTCAGCTTTAAATTTCAAATAATTTCAAATAAATTCCTATATTTAAGCTTTATTACCAAAGATGACATCCTTTATACAATAATTAACCAAGCAATAGGTAATTTTGATGTTGATACTTACGACCATTGCCTGTCGAAGTCTCTAGAGGTAGCAAAATCGACACTAGCGGTTGATGTTGCGATAGCAATAGCTCGTCCATTGGGCAGGGTCAGATCATTGTCAGTCATACCGTCATACACACCACACAAACCTTTAAAAGCAAAGAGAAACTCACTTTCATTGCTGTAAAATTCAAAGCAAGAGGCCCATAGTACCTGTATTGCTCACTGACTATTGGAGCAGTCATGGCAATATATTCAGTCTTTCTGGTCCAAAGAATGCTTCATAGCAAATCTGGTTGCATTGTGTATGTGTATATGGATATAGAATTGGGATCTAAATTGTTGACATGAAATGGACCGAGAATAAGTCCTCAAGGGCGGGGCCAGATGCTGACAGTATCTTTTGTGTTCTTTTCTTTATGCCAAGCAGGTATATTTAAGGAATAACCATTAATTTTTGGGGGTTATACAGTATATACCGAAAAAAACTGTGTCCATTTCGTGCACAAAAATGCAGTTTTTTCGGTACAAACCCTATAACCCAACAATAATTCTGGCATTCCCTTATAATTTGATTTAAACAGTAAGACAACACTTGAAATACATAGTGAATATTCATTCATTTCTAATAAACACAATTGCACAAAACACACCATTGTGGAGTAATTTTATAGCTAAGCAATCAAACATTAGGATTACAAATACTGTGCAAAACAGCAGTATACAAAGTTATCACTTTTTTTGTTTTCTGTTTTTTTTAAGGCTATGCAATAAAACCTGAAGAGGTCTACCCTTGGAGGAATAGCCAAAATTGAATTATGTTTGGTTATATGATGGGGATCTCAATCAATTTCAAGTTATAACCAAAGAATAATGCAACTTGAAAATTTCTGCAAGACCTGCAGCATGCCATTCTAGCCCTGTGGTTTACATATAAATAGCAAGTGACCTTGCATTATCATTACGACCCTGAAATCTGTAGATATCTGAGTTTTTTTCATTACAATTTTTTTTATATGAACTTTCATGAAAAGTTTTTAAGATATGAATTGCAAGAAGACAGGAAGTGGGGGAGGACATGATGCAGCGGGATGATCATGGTCATAGCCAACAATACGCCCCCCACCCCTGATTTTTCTCAATTTACTCCTTTAAAATTCTTTATTGTGAAATCTCAAAAAAAAAAAATGCATAAATTTAAATAGATTACTCCCAATGGACTGAGTTCTCAAAATGTAGCACATGTAGGAAGGACAGAATTATGTTGACAAAAAGATAGGCTTAGATATAAGTTGGTAAAATAATTTTCAAGATTTTCCAAAATGGCCATTATGTTGATGATTTTCCTCAATTTCATCCCAGGGTCCGTTTCCCGAACCCCATGATGAAGCCCCGACGGTTTTGTCATACCTGTTGTGTGACCCATGTCGAATGGCGAAGCATGGACCATGATTTGCAGTGAGATTGTCATGTCTTCAATGGTCACCACGGTTCCGGAGGGGAACCTCACCTGCACAACAAAAGTAGGCTGATTTTAAACCTTACACTTCACTAAATAACACTACTACATTTACTATACGTTCTGCCTCAAATCTGCTAACAGTATTCTGTGTTCCCTGAATTTAATCTCATCTAGTCACCATCTGTTGTGTCCCCGAAAGAACTAACTCTATCCCAACATATATTATACCCTCCCTTGTTAGCCTACACCATTTTGTCAAATTTACAGTATTAGTTTGGGCTGTGAATACACATTTTCTCACGATACAATACATAGCTTGATACAAGACCCATGATACAACAAACATTGCATTATATGAAACTATATAACAAAACATAGAAGACAAACGTCTGACTGACTCAGAACTTTACGGTTGACACATGTTAACGTCATCTTCCACACACTTATATCTCGCTTCGGGTCGTTATTTTTCTATAAATGAATATAGTCTCAAGTTCAAGGTAATACAATTCCAATGAGACCCTATTAGTTGCTATTGTCATTGATCTGACACAAATGAAATTTAGAAGTTTTCAATTTTGTTTGAAGAAGTTGCTATATCGTCAGCTTGTTTATTAGCCGCATAGTGTGTGGACTTGATATTAGCCCAACGCTGCTTCAGATGATTTGAAGTTTATTACAACTCTACCTATTTTACTGCCCACCAAATATTTCCTATTCATCGTTTCCAAACAGGGGATTTTAAAGGTGGTGGAGGGCGAGGAGAGATTTTTTCACCACTATAATTTGTCATTCTACCTTCGTGTCTGGCGTGATTTGGAAAGTGTACAAAATTATGGTAACTCCGTCATATTTAGTAAATTGCAGTCCGGTGATACCAAGTTTAAATATTGTATGACGCTTCATGGGTGTGAATGAAAATAAATATAATTGTATAATTGTAGTATCAATATATCATTCATTCACTGGCCCTTTCACCCTGTAAACCATAATAGACTCATCCATAGGGGTGAAAAGGTTAGTATAATATTTGGTAGACAAGGTATCAATTACAATTGTGATAGAACTGATTGCATGTTTGCATTCTAAAGACTGTATTATTTACACAGCATCGGTTACAACTTCCATACCGTGTATTTGCTGCCCTCGCTGTTAATCTCTGTAAACGGATGCAAAGTGCCAGTCATATAAAGCTGCTGTGTGTTTCGGATATTTCCATTGCTTTCTCGGCAGCGGTCGATGATGAAGACATCATCCTCCGATTTGACAGCCACGGCACATGACTCTGTTCCGAACCTATTCAAGCTCTTTTGCTTCAGCACAAACACCTACACAATACGAACGAATACAACATTTGAAGACGAAGTCTATGCGCATAGCCGATTTATTCCTCTCAACGTTTGTAACATATGTCGTTAATTTATTATTATATGTACAAGCAAACCAATCATGATTTAAGTGAACATTTTCAGAGCAGAGGAACTCAAATTCTTGAGAGTAAACATCATCATGTTTCTAGTAACATAAGCTAAGAACAAAAACACAATAAACAGATTTCTAATCACAGTTACACTAAACACATTTACATTGAATTCATATGGGACAAGAGGTGTCTCAAACATAACAGATTTCTATTACTTAAACGAGTATGTCTCACACTCATAAGGTTTCTCTGCCAGCCTACAGTAGCTTTATCTATAAACTTCATAGGTGTTTAACCCTTTCAACACGGTAGGCCAAAATGGACTCATCCAGATCAATGCATGGTAGAGTCTACGAAAGCTACATGGGGGTAAAAGGGTTAAGAGGAACATTAAACTTAGATTTGATTGCTATTTTTCAACATTACCAAATTATAAAATTGAGTATGTATGTTGGTGATTTTTTTTTTTATTTATTTAGTGTTTTGAAGGATTTTAGAATAAGGAATACTATTCATTATGTTGCATGGTACTCTTTAGATGTCAAATTGCTGTTATAGATGCATAAGTGTTGATTTTTAATTTGTTCATTTGACACATTTTATATTTTATACATTCAATGTGGGGGGTTTTCATCTTAGTTCTGAAATAGAAATTGCAAAAATTACTATTTGGGCAGGAATTTTCTTAACAGTTTGGAGTCCGTCAGCTTTTGGTATTTACAGAAAATTGTAATTCAGTTATTGTTTGAAAATTGAAAATGTTGTAACCACTGAAAAATATTTATAATTGCATATTCAAGTCTAGTTTAGAGATTTTTGTTTTGTTTTATATATAGTTGACATACTTTATGGGAAACAAATAATATTTCTATTCAGGCTATAAACAGGAAAGTCTATATCTTCAGCTCTTATTGTACAATAATAGCATACCTCTTGTGGCAATATGGTGTGCTTGTAGACTAAGAACAACCCTTGGTAGTAGTTATTGTGGCTTCTGCAAACACATCAAAAAACAGTGTACAATATCTCATTGTAGTTTATACATGGCACATCAAACAATCTGAATCATCACATTATTTTTATGCATTTTCATTTTGTAAAAAGAATATTCTGACAAGAAACAAATATGATCAACTTTGTTAACACATGTTCTGAAAATTGCCACAATATAGGCCTACCATTAACTTATTCACCCCTGAAGACACATTTGAACTCTTCCAATTCAAAGGTTGGAATAGTCCATTATAAGATGTCAGGGTTGAATGAGTTAATGTCATAATATCCTCAAACATTATAGATAGCTGGTGGATAACCACTGTTGGCTGTTCCATTTATTCAAAATCTACCTCAAACAAAAGGAATAGGAAAATCTGAATATCAGATATATTTGTTATAATCAACGAAAACTACAAATGCAAGAAATTACATCTGTACGGATTTCCATAATTGAAAGCAGAATCGAAGAATGAAGACAAAAACTTATAACTTCCTTTACGTACGTATCATAATGTATTCAGAATTACAAGACTATAATTCTACACAGAATGTACTTTAATGCTAAACTAAGTTAATATTTTTTTTTGTTAAATCACTCATGGTAAATAAAACACTGACCAAACTTAAGGTGTAATTGATGTAGTCAACACAAGTATGGATGAGACATGGTAAGAACGAATACTTACAGTCCGTCAAACGACCGCACAGAATCACCAAAGGCCATACACGCACTGTAACGGTCGTTGTTGGTGACAACAATCTATAAAATAAATGAAAAAAAATGAAGTGTTAGTCTGATATCACCCTAAATGCCACATGAAAATGGTTAACCTTCAAGATTCAGGGGATTTCCTTTTGTGCTGACTTGATTTCTGATTTCGTCGTATCATCATACTAGCATACGTTCACTGATGACAGTGATACAGATATTTTTTTATGTTCCCTTTAGTAGTCAAACAATTTCAAATTTCTTTCTCTATTTTTATTGGATATATTCTTCAATATTGAAAAAAAATGTCTACAATTTCAAAAAATATCTAAGGAGTCAGAAGATGTTGTATAAGTTTTCAAAACCTGTATCTGAATCCATTTTCATTGTCAAATTAACCAGATACATGTTCTTGCAAAACATTTGTACAAATATGAAATAAAATAAAGTTTATACTTATTTTTTTTATATCAGTTATATATTTGAAGTTTTTCGGAACATTATGTTTTGGGGCAAATATTCAAATACCTGGTATATATGCGGACACAATGTACGCACACATAACACACATAAAGGGGACAGTAGGACATCTAAACTTTTAATAACAACCAAAATAAGCCCAAAATGCAAATCCCTTTTACATCACAACACTGGGTAATAGCAGGTATTCTCAACGGGTATTCAATAGCAACAGTGATTATCATTTCATAGCCGACTATTTTGAAAGATGAGATGTATTTTTTTTTTTTTTTTTTTTAAGTTATATTTTTCTATAATGTCACTTGTATCATCATTAGCCAAAGACGGGATTTAATTTTAGGACCAGTAGAATCTGAGAGCTTATAGTATTCGTTTGAGTCGGTGAAACACTCATGTCACAAAATGATACGATTGTGTTCATTACCTGAATCAGAAATGTGTCAACTTTGTGAATCTTTATAATATTATTCAATAATTTACAAAGGGAACAATGAATGAAACATCCTAGAATGGCCCTTAACACACATTTTTTGTACTGTAGTTATGCTTTTGCCTCCAGCACAAATGACACACATGCATATATTACACACATGGACATACATCTTTAAATGATCTTAGCTGTTTATAGCATGCCACACCCTGTAGGCGGCTGGGATTTGATTCCCTGATCGGGCTAGAAAAGGTTGGGTCACCTGCCCGACCACGTGGGTATTCTCTGGGTACTCTGGTTTCCTCCCACATTAAGATCCCAGCACACTAATATCTTGGCCAACAAGAGTGACTAATATAAGTTGAAACAACTTGTTTCATAAATGTTGTAAAATAAATAAAGTTTATCTTTACATTAACACCCTGTAAAACAACATTAAACTAGCTAACACTCAAGGGGGTTGAAGACACATCATCCCTTAAAGTTGAAAATCTGGTGCGATTCCGATGATTACTACGTAACAAGTACCTGGTATTCTGCAAGCTGTGTTTCTTTTACGACTACTCCGTTATCAATCTTGGTTGCTGTAAGTTTAGCAGTGATGTAGTGTGTGCCGTCCTGAATGAGGTCAGCGGTCGCCAAGAGGGGCACCACGCGAGGGGTCATGTAGTCGGCATCCGTAAAGACCATATTACAGGTTCCGGAGGTATCACCGTCCTTGACCACCAACACTTGTGGAATGTCAACAGCGCCATCAGCACACCTGCGGAAATAATCAGTCACAGAATGAAAGGAAGTTAAAATAGAACATTTTGAAATAACACCCTAAACTTTCATGGAATGTTGCCTTAAAGGTGATGTAATTTTCCAATCTTTCAATATCTTGTCTTTCTTTTCTTCGTCTAAATAAAATAAAATATAGAAAAGTTTTATCTCGAGGCAGGCACATTCGAGCTCCACCACTGCAACTATTGGAGGGAGTTTAGATAGACCTACTTTGCAACAGAGCTGGCAACTTCAGACAGAGATACGGTAACTTCGATGTGGCAGTTATTGCCACAGGAGGGTGACTCAGTCATGGTCACATAAATGTTTGTGGAATTCATGCTTCCTTCCTCCAGCCTGATTAAACGGGTTGGGTCTGTGACCTGAAATGTCATCATCAGTAAATTAACGTTTGTTTTCTCAACACAAGAACTTCATACAGTATTCAATCTTATATTATTACATACTTCCAAAAATGTTGGCTTGTTTTCCTCCCGATATTTTGTTTTGGTGAGGAGGTTATGCTGAGTAATATAAGCCAACATGCATGCTCATTAAACAGATGACACAGATTTTGATAATTCACTTCCTGCATATTGGCTTAAATCGCAGTATTCATTTTACCTCATTCTTACTGACCAGGCTATCTGGGATTAACCCTTTCACCCCTATGTAACTTTAGTAGACTCTACCATGCATTGATATGGAGGAGTCCATTATGGTCTACAGTGGTGAAAGGGTTAAGGTTTCACAGGTATCTTACATGCTAGGCTCCCTGTGGTATCAATGATACAATATAGTTGAGCGGGAAAATAAATTTCCATTTTACATTATTATAAAAATTGAAACAATTTGTGGCCTGTTTTGGCTTTAACATTGTCAACTGTTTTAAACCTATTAACTTGCTTACATAAATAGATGGCATCTTAATACAGGACTGGCCATAAGCGTTCTGTACATTCTCCAGTTCAGCAGTCAGGTTAGCCTGAACCATGACAGCACAGCTCTTCAGTGCTCCGGTCATACAGTTCTTAACGTTGTCATACTCACTGAAAAATAAAGACAGCATTAGCTACAGTAGTTTAATTTTCTATAAATATATGTATGCAAATTCTTATACTCTGTATATATAGGTATCTTTATCATTTGGATAGGTAGAGAAATGATGCCAAGTTTAGATGGAAACCTGTCTAATCTGACCAATACGTTGTGTTTCATAGTGTCAGATAAGATAGGTTTTTGTTTCATAGTTAGTCAGATAAGACAGGTGGTTTTTTTTGGTTTTTTAAAAATAGGATTTAATAAGATATTAGTGTGGATGGGATCATTGCTACCTCTATATCCACATCAATATAATTTGAAATACATTGTGGTAAACGTAAAATAAGCCCATGTATAAGACACTCTATGATCATACGTTCACTCAATGTATATCCAGAATTCTTCTCAAAGTCAAATACGTCACGAGATGAAATAACATCTTGTGGGATCATACTATTCCAGATATCAACCATATTCCTTTGAGTTGTGTTTTCCAATATTCAGATGACAATGTTCTCAGAGTATTTTTTTTACTGTGTCCACAAGTTTGGTTTTTGTGCAACGAGATCAAACGATCCCTCGCCATATTTGGATCGCATAGCTATATAGCCCATTCACAAACTTAAACGATGGAGTGAGAAAAAATATGTGTATGCATTGTTAAACTTACGCGCAGAAGTTGTCTTTGTTAAGACTGAGCAGACAGGCTGTAGCACCGTCCACGTTACAGTTGGAGGGTAGATTACATATAGCTTCCTTTGCCTCTTCCTGGAAACCAAGCATGGCTTTGAAGTGTTGACCGACGTCATCCGTGCAGCTTGAGGTCAGGGCGGATATGTTGGACATCATACTTGGTAGATTGCTGAATACATACAACACATATTATATTCATAATTATATATTTACGTAGATATCCATATACAGGTCATATGGAAAGCTACTAAAGCAATGGCTTAATATGCTTTTGAATCCATAAATGCATCTTAATTTGAAAAATTCATTGACAAATAAGTATTTAATAGTAAAAAAATCAAATTTTCAAAAAATGTTCAATAGGTAGTACATCTTGCATGTGTATTTCATTGCCTTATAACCCTCTACATCTAGCAGAGCTTGTTTTCAAAAGTTGATAGTCCCGCAGCAATAAGGGGAGATAACAACACATTGACCATCAGACACAACGAAGGTAGCATTAAAGTTACAAAATATCCAAATTCACATTTACCTGCAGAATGCGGCATTGTTGGTTGTTAAGACCTGTCCAACACCAGCCATTGTCATCCACATAGCAGGCAACACCTGGCAGGACTCTGGCTCTGTCAACAGACAACAGTCAACACACATGTCATCATTGTTACAATGACGTTTCCCATTACTGTTACAGCTCATCATAGACTTCAGTTTTTCTAATTATTCTTCTACTCATATCGCTCCCAGGTGACGAATAGATTGTTTTATTTTGTGGCTTGTAATGAGGTCATTTACCATTGAAGCATACAAGAACATTACTTTACATACTGTATACCGGGACGAACATTCTGTCAGTTTCAGCTTTATCCTTTTCCCCCCTCCCCTATGAAGGTGAATTTATCTTGACAGTGAATATTAGTACACAACAGACAATGTGCATAGGTATTACATGTGAAAGGTGAAATTAACACCAGGCGAACATGCTTTTATTGGCAAATGGCAAATATTAGACTCAGTGACAGTTTCCCGGTATACAGTAGAGGTGTCACGATTACCGCAATTATTTATTGTTCGATTCGATTCACGATATATTTTTCCAGATTTTCGATGCACCACGATCTGAATATTAGTGTATGCAACTTCAGCCGAAACGTCTGTGAGACGTTCAATTTCATTGGCTGATCTCTAATCCCTCAACCAATCGGCTGTGTGGATGCAATTTTCACAAAGCATTCATAACAAAATGGCGGACCGCAGTAAGGAAAGGAAATTGTGATGCTCCGGCAAGCTTCAAATCAAAAGTGTGGAAACACTGTGGGTTTCTGTGTATCGACAGCTTATATATCTCATTTATTGTTTATTTTTAAAAATAAAGGTGTATCAAATCGAAATAATTGAATCGTGGTACAAATATCGAGATATATATCGAATCGTGGGTAAAGTGTATCGTGACAGGCTGACAGCTCTAGTATACAGTGTGTAATGACATTATTTTCGTCAATGTTTCTCAGAGAGAAATTGACTAGTTATACTTAAGATCGGTAGTTAGACACAAGCTTACGCTTCAAGAAGGTGCAGGTCATATCTTCATGGCACATGCTTTTGGAGACTTCGTGCAGCTGGATCAGGTTCTGTCTCACAAAGGTGCCTTGTGCGGACGACAAGTATGACCAGCTAGCCATGTGCATTTCACTGTCCATGCACTCATATGCTTCACGAACGGCTGCACACTGAATAACCTGGTGAAACAAACGCTTCAATGAACAACATGATCACATAAACGTTTCACTTATCTAAGGTGGGTCATACAAATGTTTCAATAAACAATGCAAAGTATTGCGAGCAATCCCTAGTCCCCTACGTACTTTAGGATAAATGTTCTTATGAAGGAGCAAAATGTCTAAGACATAGATGCCCCCTGCTCCCAAGCACAGTCAGTGTCATTTGTTTTGATAGATTACTCCAACAGTTATGGTGACCTTAACCTTGGTTTCAAGAAATTGTAAATTTTTATGAAGTATTCTCAAACTTGATATCTATAAAAGTTTAATAGAATCTGTTAACAAATTCAGTACCTTCACTGAAGGGGTTGACGGAATTCTATAAATAGTAGTAGTGACATTGGCCTTGGCCTTGAAACCCTGAATTGCAAACCAATTCCAGATATTCTCTTACTAGACCATTGTATAAAGATGGATAAAAATCAATTTAGTAATGAAGTCACTTGATCAATTGTGAGAGGACACAACGCGATGGGATGGACATCAGTAATAACACTGTATGCCCCCTTCTGTAAAATGGCGGGGAAAATTAATTTAAGGGGTACGAGATCAAATTTCAGTTCAGGACATTTGCGAACAAAACTTTAAAGGATGTGAGCATACGAGGCATGTCGAGGACAAAGTGACACAGGGTAAACAAAGGGACATAACTATGTGCATAGTTGAGCTCGAGATATAAAAATGTACTATGTACAAATCATAACTTTGAACAGTCTCCGACAGGAAACATAAATTTTCACATACAAAGTTTGGCAATTGTGGTCACCAAGGTATAGGGTATGTATTTCTCTCATTTCTGTGTGTGTAAGATAAAGCTGTCCAGGGTAAAAATCTCTATCCTACACCCCCTTCATGTGACGTGAGGTGACGTCACAAATTTGGAAAAAACTGGTGCCGGAATGCGGAAAAGGCGACATGATGAAATTAAAACCTTATACAATACATTTACCATATACGTTACTTGATAGCTACACGGAATATTACCAAGAAAACAAACATTGCAGAATTTTTTGTCAATAAAACACAGAAATGTGTGAAACTCCTGTCCTTTAATTACATCTATCAATAGACAATGACCTTGACCTACTACAATTCTACTATAAATAGACCTGACCTTCTTCTGTCGAGAGACACTGACCTTGGCCTTGGCGTGGTTAGTTTGGTAGTCCTCCTCCATGCCTCCAGAAATCATTCCCCACATGTAGGCGACGCCGTCCATGAGGTAAGCATCCCCCATGTTGTCCATCTGCATAGCATCGGGCATCATCGACATGTTGGCCCCACCTGACAACATTTCCCTCATGGCGCGCGACATATTAGCCAAATTCATCTCAATCCTTCTGTTAATTTCCGTCACTCCGACCATGTATGGGTTCTCCATGAAGTGGCTTGTCACCTCGCTGGCGATCGTGTTTCGGATACGTGTCGCTTGGGCCAACATCACATCACCATTGATCAGACCGATCGTGTTGAAGAAGAATTTCTGAATGCAGACTTCAAGATCACCACCACAAACAAGATGTCGGTTTGGTGTGGCATGCTTGACAGCCTCCATCATAGCGGACTTACCAAATACAGAACAGTGCTGTAGCTTCTCCTTTAGGCAGATTTCAGTCATCTCACGTGCCCTGGAGCAAAAACAGTGAGCGTCAGTCACATACAGAAAAGACAGGGAAGTTTGCTGAACAAACAAACAATGATAGGCTATTATTGTCAGCACTAGACTATAGTCACTCTCAATTCATTTTCAAAAATATCAAAATTCAAAACTATAGTAGCATGAATAAGGATTTGAAATGATCATGTTATCACAACATTTTTCTTATTTTTTTTTTTAAAGTTTTAAAGTTTTAAAAATTCACATTTTCAAAAATCTAAATTTTAAGATTTTAAAACTTTTTCATTAACGACTCGTTAAAGAACCCAGGCTCTGTGCAAACCAGGCCCTAATCATACACTGAACATATCCAACTCTGTACCAGTCTGCAGGTTACTCACAAGCAGATATGTTGATCCTTCATCTCTTTCATACTCGACATGTGGGCCAAAACATCGACACAGTGTTGTGCCTCGTCCAGACGACAGTGCTTTGATTCCTGGCATGGCTTCATGACAACCTGTGGGCACATCTTGTACACGGTCTTTACAGCCATCCGCACCACTGACTCGACCACCGACATGGTGGAACTATCGCACCAACTGGTCATCTTATCAACACACTGCATGGTTTTAGTGTACTGCCTGGAAACGCAATGTCACAAAGTTTAACATTGAAACTACAAATATATGTGCACATTTTGCAATACAGAGAGTTTTGAGGGCAACACACAGAATGGCCAGGCTAGAAGGACATCAGAATGTGACCCCTGTTGTCAGATCCCACAACAAGTGTACTATCACATGAAAGAAGTTCAATCAGACTAAATGTATTCTTAAACCGCATTAAACTGTAAGGGGAGTGAGAGATACAACGTCCGTGCAAAGGGTTCAACAAAAATCTGTGCTGTCCAGCAGACGGATACCGCAAGGAACACACGAGTCCTGCCGTAGTAGTTGAGTAATCGATAGGTAAAGATGATGACACAACGAATGTGTTGAAACTAGTTCATGTTATTTTGATTAAAGCTGGAAAACCCAGCACCACGTTGTCCTGATCATCTTTACTTATTGATAGTATTACACTGTGACTGCAGTCAAGAGTGAAAACTGAAAACAAGGGGGAAGGGGGGATCTGGAAATGATTCAGGTGACCTGTTTAATTTACCAACAAAAACATATTGATAGAACGACCAATGGAAAACTACTTTCTACTTTGGTGCAGGAGCCTAAAAAAAGCCCCCAAGTATCTTGTTTTACCTCCCACCCAAGCAGAATAAACACTGCTTTCGTACAAGGTGCATCACTTACCTATGCATACTGTTGCATTGCATCATGGGACTCATCAACTTCATACCGAGATGGGAAAGACATCCATAGGCACCAGTCAAGTTACACACTTTGTAGTCGTCCATCATCTCAGCTGTGTTGTTTGCTCTAGTTGTGTTCCTGTTAATAACTGTTGTCCCGTTCTCTGTCCTGGTGGTGACGTTCTTAACATCCATATCTTCCCGCATGTCTTCCATCCAACTGTCTGCATCACAGCTCGGGATTTTGGTGCTGTCTCTCGCCATTTCTTTGCGGACAGACGGACAGTGTTTGATCATGTCGTAGCTTATACAGAATGAGGTCTCCATCTTCTCTTGGACTTTCCAGTTGACCTCCTGTGGACAGGCGTAAGTGTTCCGCTCCACACATTCCATTGATTGGTCGTAGATTCTGAAATGACAATTTTAAACTATCCTGACACTGAATGCAAAAGGATGAAACTTGTTCACACAATGAAACAAATGAGCTTACCAAATGCTTTTTACATTTCTGTTTTTACATATGATTAATCAAATTTATACAGCGATTCCCTCTTCTCATCTTTTGCAAACCATTACTGCACATTCATTTGGGCCTTATCACTTCGGTGTAACCTGCCCCCATTCGCAGGGGGAGCTGTAGCACGTCTACGAAGGGGTCGTTCCACAGCCCAGCTGCTTCCTGGCACCCCGTAAACCCGTTAACTCAACATGAACTAGAATTGACCTTCGGCACAGCTCTGTTCTGCCGTGGGCTCCACCGGAATTATGCCATATATATACGCCACAGGCGTTTTCACACAGTTCATACAGCCCTATAGTATATAGACTGTCCATATTATTTGCCATATATATATGGACACTATTAATAATGCATGCAAGTTTACGGCCGGGCCTACGCCACTTCGTCGAGACTTCCAAAATTCTAGGTTAGGTTATGTGCAGTGTCTGTGAGTACCATTATTTGGCCAAACATTGTTGCATGAATAAATGCTACAAATCTTAACTTCTTTGCTTGTTGTTGTTTCATAAAACAGTGAGTCCTTCTTCTCATCTTTTGCAAATCAAAGGCTTTCCTCAAAATGTGCATGCTGTCTGGGTGGTTGCAGAGACCAAAACAGCTTTTGGGGGAATTCACTTTTTTGTGATTTAGAGGAAATTTTGAATTGTACAGGAGGATTTTCACTTCATGAAATTAAAAGGTTTTAATCAAATAGATTAGATATACATAGAATCATTCTCTCCTAACTCTATTAGATTACAATGTGACTTTGTTTTTTATTTAAATTTGAAAATTCTCATATAAGGCAAAAAACATGTTTGGACTTGAGAAATTTTTAAAGAAAATTGGTAAGTATATCAAGATCACGAGAGAATTTTAATAGATGGGGTAAATACTTTTGCAGGGAAAATTTACCAATGTACTTAAATGTAAGTTTGTAGAAACTTTGATGAAAATCTGTTTAGAAATGCAGTCAATTGACTCATGAAAATGAGTTATAATGTAGTAGTGGAGACATGAGTAGCAATTTATGCCCCTCCCTTCCCCCTCCTCAATGAAATGGTGGGTGAATAAATAGTTAATAACAAGGCTCAATGATCTATAACCCGAGTGCTATAATTCGTACAAACCTGCATAAATTCTCCTCCAGTTTGTCCATAGAGATGTTGGCCAAGATCTCTCGACTAGCCTCAATTCCACAGTCAAGGGCACTCGTGGGGTCACAAATCATCAACTCTTCAGCACAGACGCCAGAGAAAGCAATAGATGCATGTACAGCAGCGCCGAGGCCATGCAGCGGCCCTTGGGTAGCCTCAGAACAATTGTATGCAGACGCATGCACCATCTGCATCCAAATGGATGTCTGTCCATTCCTGTGAAACAGTACATATATTGGTCATCATCCGGGGCTGTTAGGAATTTACATCCCCAACATATTTTTTATCAGTCAAAAATATCCTTATAGATGCAGTCAACTTCTCTGTTTCTCTTTTAGCACATTCTGCCTGTGGACCCTCTGCTTCAGTTCATCTCAAGGTCTTATTGAAAGTAAGTGACATCATTCAACTTTGAACTTGATTTCATCTTTCATTCCCAATACACTTGTTTTCTAAATGAATGTGTCATGTGACTAAGTACTTGTTTTCTAAATGAATGTGTCATGTGACTAAGTACTTGCAGAACTTACATGCGCTCTAAATATTATTTCATTGAAGATATACAAAGGAAACATTGTAATCTATGAAAGCTATTTCCTCAATGATTTTATACATACGCGTCACAGAAGTCATTCTTGTCCTCAGCAGACAAAAGACTGCTGAACATGACAACCACAGAGTAAGAACTCAAGATCTTGGCAGCATTTTGGATGTCACATGTCGGCCCTTCTGTAACACAGGAACACCATAGTAACATAGGGATACATTGTACCATTATAACACAGGGACAGCATGGTAACACAGGGACACTAAAGTAATACAGAGACACTATAGTAACACTGGGACACCATGTTAACAAAGAAACACCATAGTAACACAGAGACACCATAGTAACATGAGGATATCATGGTATTACAGGGACACTATAGTAACACAGGGACACTACAGTAATACGGGGACACTCTAGTATCACAGAGACACCATGCTAACAAAGGGACACCATAGAACCAAAGAGATACCATAGTAACACAAGGACACCAAGGTTACACAGGGACACCATGGTAACTCTGGACACCGTAGTACCACAAGGACACCATGATAACACAGGGACACTTTAGTAACACAAGGACACCATGGTAACACAGGACACCGTAGTAACACATGGACACCATGGTAGCACGGGACACTGTAGCAACACAAAGACACCATGGTAACACGGGACACTGTAGTAACACAAGGACACCATGGTAACATGGGACACTGTAGTAACACAAGGACACCATGGTAACATGGGACACCATTGTAACACAGGACACCGTAGTAACACACGGACACTGTGGTAACATGGGACACCATAGTAACTCTAGGATACCATGGTAAAACGGGACACCATAGTAACACAAGGTCACCTTGGTAACACGGGACACCGTAGTAACACAGGGACACCATGGTAACATGGGACACCATGGTAACATGGGACACCATGGTAACATGGGACACCGTAGTAACACAGGGACACCGTAGTAACACAGGGACACCATTGTAACATGGGACACTGTAGTAACACAAGGACACCTTGGTAGCACAGGGATTACATAGTACATCGCTAGTTAACTTCATACTCATATCTTAAAAGACTAGTGAACAAGTCACTTTAAATGTTACACAGGAACTCTATGTGACAAAAACTGAACACTTCTTACCTTTTTGCATGTCGTTCATTTTTCTGTCCGGCATGTAGTTGTACATTGCTCCCATCTGGCTCCTCGCCATGTTGGCAGCCTGTTCATTAGACCAACACAACTCTCTGACAAGCCCCCATGTAACATTGGAGGAGGTACCATAGTAGGGCCACACTTCTGCCGCTGCTTCTTCTGTCATATCTCCCGTGAAGCACTGACCCAAATTTGCAAATGCAGTACATATTGCTTGGTGGGCATCGTCAGTGTTCATCAGTGCCGAGGTCATTTCCAGGGTGTAGTTATTTACACAAGCGATGACGGATCTGGCTGCATCCTTCTCATATTGAATCATTGATGTGAGAGGTACAACATCTATACAAGCCATTTGGGCGTTAGATAGCATCGAACTTAATCCTGTATGTACCATGGTTAACTGCAAGGTGTTGCAGCCCTTGATCAGGCCAGTCAAACAGGTGTTCAAATTGTTGAATGAACTGAAATTTGAATATTAAAAAAGGCTGCATTGTGCTGAATGTTATTTACAAGTATAGGTCATTCACAGATGTCAATTTAACGTGAATATCCCTGTTTAGATCATCCTACTTGTGGAGGTCAATCACAAAGGTCACAGTAACATAAATATCTCTGTTTAGATCATCATCCATGTGAAGGTCATAACAGGTGAATGTCAATCACAAAGGTCACAGTAACATAAATATCTCTGTTTAGATCATCAACCATGTGAAGGTCATTTTACAAAAGTTACTAATAGAATCTATCGCTACTGGTTGTGTAAGATAGAGAAATCTCAACCCGAGGTCTAAGATTTTTTGTCCAGAACGAGGCTTGCCAAGTTCTGGACAAAAAATCTTAGTCCAAGGGTTGAGATTTGTCTATCTTACACAACCAGTAGCAATTGATTATTTTTCTCACATATCTAACAGTATTTTAATGTGAAATAAAGGTAAACATGGACCCAAAACACATACAGGCAATTTGTTGATGGATTGTTGACGTGACGTCATTGTATTGTTAAAGTGACGTCATGCCATTGTTATGAATAGGGGAATCCCCCCGTCTCAACCCTAGGGCGGAGACAGATAAATCTAGCATCGGCAAAACGGGAGATAAATCTGTCAGGTGTGGGAGAAAGTAACATAAATATCTATGTTTAGATCATCATCTATGTGAAGGTCGTAATAGGTGAAGGTCATTTACAAGGATCACAGTAACATAAATATCTATGTTTAAGTAGGTCCCAAAATGAAGACCCTCTATGTACATCTCGGTAGAGATCATCAAATTTACATTGAAACACAAGGTTTTATAGTGATTTATAAGTAATATTGAAATTAAATCAAATATATTCTGTATTTATCTGGCAATAAGCCCATGCCTTGTAATAAGCCCACCCATATATATTGCAGTTCAGTAAGAAATGCTGACAAGTGTTATTTTATCGTCCTGTAATCCCCCCCCCCCCCCCCCCCCCCTCACCCCTTATTCTGAGTCAGTGATAATGTGTAAGCCCCATGGCCTTATTGGAGGATAAATACAAGTCAGAAATTACCTGCATGATGAAAATGAATCAGGGATAAGAGTTCCACACCGGGCAGCCACTTGTGTTATTGTGCACTGCTCTGCCTGGTTACACGTGTCGGATTTTGTCGCCTCGCGGTACGCACTTATCATGCTGTCATTGTTACAGACGTTTACGATATCCTCCAGTACAATGTGTAAGTGGGTATACGCTACAGTCATTTCTAAAGCACTGCAGTTTAGCGTGTACCGGTACAAACAGTTCATCATATCGGGAATTTTCCTGAAAAGTGGAAGAAGAGTCTTATATACCTGGTAGAAAAGCCTGTTTTATCATGTAAGTTCACATTTTCTAAGTTTACAGCAGAGGAATACTTCCAAGTTACAAAATTTGAATTTGTTATGTCAACATTCTTTTTCATAACTTAAGCCCCTAAATTATTTCTCAATCAATTTTTTTTTTTTTCATTTTTCATTTGTTTTTCAAAAGAAATCTCTCAATGTCCTTAACTAAATATAATTGATCTTTACATGTTGCTAATTGTCCTCAAAATTTAACAAGCAATATTGTTAAGATTTTCTTTATTCAGAAAAATATTCCAATAAAAAATCTCTACAAAACTCTTGTTTTAAGGTAATCAGAACTATGTTAAGACCTGATGTTAAATTTCACTAGTGGATAAAACCTACTTGCACTTGTCTAGGTCTGTAGAACTAGTAACTAAACTGGCACAGTACTACGAAGGCATCGTTACATTACAGAGCTGGGTATTTCCCGTAATGATATCGTCGTTATTGAAGCACTGCATCGAAGCCGTGAGGAAGGGACAACTGTCGGCTACAATCGACTTGATGTGTTCAAATTGAAGGTACGGGGCCAATGACTGGGTATCGTTACAATGTCGAAGGCCATATGCCATGCATAGGGAAGCCTGCTCAACAGCCCTGAAAATAATCAAATCAAATACATTGTCATTTATTAAATCCATCACAGAAATTTTTGACATGTAACATATAATAAAATCAACTGTGATGCCACAGGGGACAATATAATGTGATGACATCATTAAATAGGAGTTGAGACAAAATTGTTTTTTCCTCCATGCTTTTTCTGGTCGAATATTTGACATGTGTCCGTCAAATCTCTGATGTAATATCAAGAATCCTTTCCCATGTCATATGACAATACAGACCCTTACTTAATCTTGTTTCATGAAAATCATTGAAGCCTGTTTCAGACTCTGTTCATCAGTGCCTACATGAAAATTTTTACATACATGCACAGCCTCTTGCGTTCAGTCCCAGCAGTCGACAGCAAGGGCATGAGATCCACAATGCAATGACTGACAAGTTCGGCATTACATGTGGTGGGTGGTGTGTTATCTATGTAAGGCAGGTCACAGATCTCGCTCGTCTCGGAGTGCAGGAACGTGAGGGCTCGATCGTACATGACCTGGTAGTTTACAGGACACTTGAGGACCTCGGGTTTCAAAGTTTCGTACACTGTTTTAAGGTTACTGGAAAATAACAATGCCATAATTCAAACTTCAGTCTCATTATTATAAAGATATTTAGTTATTAGTATTTGAATGTTGGATTAAAAATGCCTGAATCTCACTGAAACATACTACTGAATAATTGAAAAAAAGAAAAACTTAATGGTAATATCGAAACTCACTTAGCATTAAAAAAAAAATGCCATTAAATAAACTGTAAAATGTACTTATTTGCACTGAAATTTTAATGCATTATTGAATTTTAACAGCATATTGATGATTTGGCACACTTACAAAATATTTGATAGAATACAATATACATGATAATACAACATGCCACTATACACAGGTTTCAAGAAGGTATAACTTGCCAATTATATCAATTAAAACTCTTTTCCAGTAAAAAAAAAATTGTCATTGAAATGATTTATATATAAGACAGTATTATTCTTTGTTCGAGATTGTTTCTAACATAAAACAAGCAATAATAGGTCTGTTATAGTTCGATATGCTCTGGCTTACTCTGGTTTTTGTAGAAAGAGTTCGGTATAAAACACCTGTTAAAGTAACTATAAACCAGTTAGAATTAAAATCAAATTATACAACAGCCTGCGACTACAAATACATACATATATTTTTTATTGATTTAGGTAAAGTTCATAAATAATGATATATTGGGATTCAATGCATGTAAATATTGATTATGTAAAATCAGGAAACTTCTTTTCTATATAATTTTCCCATTGGAAAACCATTGAGGCAACCCTTCCAAATAATACAATTAAAAGAATGGAGATATTTGGTGGATATCTATAAATTGCCAAGTTTTAAGCTATGGCTTCAGCCAGCCAGAGTTTAAGTAAATTTTCTGCGCTATCATATTTTATATTAACAAGACTGTATGGTTTAGACATTTACTAACCTGCACATGCCTGGATACTGGGAGTAAGGGTAAAAGGCCCCTGTCAAGACCTGCATATAGGCAAACGTGATGTGCTGCGAAATCATCCAAGCGTTACAGTCGGAAGTCACTGAAACAAACAAGTATCGACACAGATAAAAACAGTCAATATAAGCCGTGTTATTATACAATCAAAAATTTAAAACATTTCAAAATAATTATTACGCTTTGACACACGTAAACCTACCAGTAACAATTTCGTGGAACTGTGACACCACACCCTTGATCAAGGTCATCACGACTTCCTTTGGTGCGTCCTCAAGACCATCCATAGACCTGTTCCTAGACGTCATATTGGACATCATTCCAATGATGATTGTGATGAGGTCACGCTCCTCCTTCGTCAGGTTGGCACGTTGTAAAATTGTAGTGTTCAGCTTCAGAGCGATGGCAGCAGCCGTAGCATTCTCGTAAGCTCCGGTTGCGTTTATGATCATCCTCATATGGGACGTCACATTAGCGATATCTCTTCCAAGAAGCATGACATCATCTAGATAGTAATTACAATCTCGTTCAGACTCCATAGCTACCTTGCTTTCCAGGGCCATCACAAACATGTTAGCGACCGGAGGAAGTTGAAGTTTTTTCAAACATTTCCGGAATACAGCCTTGCCCTCACATGCCAGTTGGTGCGAGACTTCGGGGTAGAGAAGCAGCCTCTGGACAGCCATTGAGTACTGCGAGACACAGCGAGCCACATCATGGGTTACGTCAGTGTGGTATATTCTGTAACAAATCCGAGTTATAAACAGCTTATAGTGAAACAAGTTAGTATCAAACCTGAGTGGCAAATATGTGAAACTAGAAAACATCTGTAGGTTATGTACGTCCCCCTGCTCTAATAAACTGATGACAATAATGAATTTATTGTCGAAAAAGCAATGGTTGACTTATAAATAGCAAGAGTGACCTTGATGTTGACCTTGGGACTCTGAAATACAAACTTATCCAAGGAATTATCACACCTGACCTTGGTAAAAACTCTTGATGAAAATCTGTTAGAAAATGAAGTCAGTAGAGCTGTGATAAAGAATCGGACAAGGATACGAGGGACATAGGGTAACAATATATGCCCCTCCATTTTTATTGGGGGAGCATAAAAACAGTGTCACTACTGTTTTTTTCTTTACAATATGCTGCTTGCATTTCTTAATTTAAGATGGAGGTGAAGAGAAAAAAAAATAAAATCTGAAAACTTTCAAGAATCTTTAAAATTAAGGATTTTTAAAACAGCTGTTACCTTGTTTCACTTAAGACAGAGTTCTAAGTAATTTTAATTTACCGTAGTCATTTTTCATTTCTTACTTTTGTGTTTGTTAATCAGCTCTATCATCAGGAGTTGTGATGAAGTAACACTGCTTCAGCATAAAAACATGTACCTACCTCTTTGTGTCTAATCCCGAAACGTGCATAGCCATACCCATGCTGACCTTCATCATTGACATGAGGTTGGTCTTGTCTGAAGGACCTTTCATACCCTCCTCCTTGTCCTCGCCCATTTCATTCATCAATGCCATTAACATGTCGGTCACGTTGCCAGTCATTGTTATCTTGGTCTTCAGTGACAGGATGACATTGACAAGGGAGGTGATGGGTGCATCTTCGTTATCCTGCATCATGCCCGAAGCCTTCCCCATCATCATGTTCATCATAGTTTCCATGGCAACGCCCTGTTCATGGTTGGTAATGCCCTGTGCGATCTCCGTTGCCATGCTGTGGTTTCCGCACAGGATCAAGGATTGTGCCATATAGTTCTGTACAATATATGTTACAGGAAGGGCCTGGACTGCCGTGCAGTGCTTAGTGTAACCGTGCAGACACGTGAGAACGTCATCGAACATGGTCTCATTCATGCTACAATACAAAGAAAATCCAAATCGTTAAGGTAAAAGTCTGCTGGTCTTTTTTTCTTAAATAACGTAACAAAATCACAGTATAGGTCACATAAAGGTGAGTCAGCGGTGTTATTGTCTAAATAAATCATGTGTATCACGATTTATACAAATCCTCTGGCCTGTACAAATGTCTGTTACACAGCAAGTCATACCTTGCACCTTGTCAACAGTACCGAGTCATGTATTACTCAAGCAACCTTGATCAAGCAAAGGTCATAGTTCAGATTGTACATTTGTATTACAATTTTCTGATCAACCAAAAGTCAACAGGTCAAATTGTATTGCAATACCTAGATCAGATAAAAGTCAATAGGTCAAATTGTTTAACAATACTCTGGGCAACCAAAATGTTGAAGGTCAAACTGTATTACAATACCCAGATTGGACAAAATTCAAGAGGTCAAATTGCATTACAATACCGAGATTGGACAAAAATTAAATTCAAGAGGTCAAATTGTATTACAATACACTGATCAACAAAGAGTCAAGAGGTCAAATTGTATTACAATACACTGATCAACAAAGAGTCAAGAGGTCAAATTGTATTACAATACCTTGATTGGTCAAAATTCAAGAGGTCAAATTATATTACAATACCCAGATTGGACAAAAATTAAATTCAAGAGGTCAAATTGTATTACAATACACTGATCAACAAAGAGTCAAGAGGCAGAATTGTATTACACCTGAGTTTAAAATGTTGTCATTTTTAACTTTATACTACATACCCGGTGTTAAAAATAGGTAAATAGTAAGATACATTAAAAAATGTATTACCAGATGTACTCTTTTTAATTCCATTTGGTAATTTCATTGAATAACAGATACAAACCTGCATAGGTTGTAGGGGTTTTTGTAAACCTCTGTTGGCTGCAAGCAGGCTTCTATTCCCTCATAGATCATACAATTGTATTCTGACAATGGCGTAGCATCACACATAGCTAACTCGATATTTAGGGAAGGACAGTGAGGGATTGCTTTGCCAATACGTTCCCCAACGATCTGGTGAACATATTGCATCTGGGCGTCATCACAACTTGACGTATAGTTTCCGACACATCCAAGCATATGTTCAAGGCGACTGAAAAAGAGAGTAAACACAACATGGTACCCAACTCACTGGAAAATTGTTTCATTCCTTCAAAAAGGTATTCAAATTGTTTTTAGTAATTATTGAATTATCAACCATAGATATGACTTTGGAATCTTGAGTCAGTCTAGAAAATACTGTTTGATTATTAAATGTCAAATCTAAATATGATTTCACATACACATATTGGTGATTCTACTGAATTTCAACTAAATACAAGAACTTATTATTATATTAACATCACATCGTATAATCTGCGATTTCACTAGATGTCGATAGGTATCAAATTTCTTGTTTAATTCTGTTAACAGGGATTTCTTGAAGTTGATCATAACAGAAAACACATAGTGGTATACACATACTGCATACCGTGAAAAAAGTCGCTGCAGTTTTAATGTTTTGCCTTTTTCGTACAGCAAACATTTGTAAACAATAGAATATACACAGTAATTAAAAGTGAAGGGCGAATTTAATAATGGGCTTAGATGGATTCTACCGCTGAAGGGCGATAATTTCCTGGCCTACAGTAATGTCAAGTGGAATATCTTGCATGTGGAATGCTTGCTTTGCGACACTTTAAACTGATTGCGGTGTGGAACTTTCCCACATTTGCAGTGGTTCCGTAATACATGTATATTTATTATATACATTTATAGTCTAAATAATTTCAAAATATTTTGTGTGATATTTCCACGCTTCGCTACTAAAAATGCAAGCATTTCCGCATCGTGAATAAATCCACTTTTACAGCAAACAACACATCAAGATATTGAAACGAAGCCAGTCAAACAAGTCTTCGTCTCGGATAGCACATCTTATCTTTACCAACTTAGGCTGCCTAATACACAAACCTGCACAAGAAGTCCATGTCTCTCCATTCTTCAGGGTCTCCGAGAATTTCTACCATCTTGTGCAATACGTCTGCTTCATAAAGACATTTACCAATGGCCTCCTCCAAATTGCACATGGGTGGGAGTTTTGCGCGTTCTTCTGCACATTTCTGTGGGTTGCGGGGATCGATTCCCGGACAGAAGTCTGGGCCAATCACTGAGCTTATCATATTTAATTCATTATAGGTCATAACCATCTCATATTCTGTGCACTGGTTCCAGTAATTGGCAAGCATAACGTTGCTCACAGTCTGGTTCAGCGTGCTGGAAGAGACAAGTTAATAATCTTGAATTGTGTTTTGTGTTTCGAAAATATTGGCAACACATTTATCAACTTAACACAGTACAAAGAGTTTTTGGTATATATTAAGACAGAAATAAAACATTTGACTTTTGGTCATTCATTCAAATAAACCCCTATACCTACATATGTCCCAATAATCCCTAATGGTTGTAGGTCAATAGAAATAACATATGTTCCAGTTGTACGTTGTAAATGTGATGTCTATGTTAACATGGGTTGCATATCAAGTTAATCAGACATACATCCTCGTCTTCACAGTTTTTCAGGAAGTTTCCATTTAGGATAAGATATTTCCATTTATTGCAAAAGTTCGTTGGACCATTCAGACTACTGGATTTCTATGCGAGGTAAAACAAAATTGCTTACGTGCAGATAGTTTTCCTGCTAGCTGCTGGAGTTTTTACGAGGTCGGCAAGTTCAAGGATGGACGAAAGGCCACAAGTGTGTACGAAGTCAGGCTGAGAGCACTGTCCATCAGTCATTGCGACCTTGACCCGCTGAGCCATACGACTGAGCTCTCTGTGCTCCTCCATGATACAGCTAGAGGTATAGGACTCCATACAGTGGAATGCCTTGTACGCCTCCCTGAGGACAGATAGGTGTAACAGTTAGCATCAAAGACATAGGTCAAACAGTTAGCATCAAAGACATTCTAAGTTATCTGGGGAAATATTCTACTTTTAAATTGGCAGATTTTAAATTATCTGTAAACTCATTCACCCCTGAAGACACATTTGAACTCTTCTAATTCAAAGGCTGGAATAGTTCTTTATGAAATTTCAGGGGTGAATGAGTTAATAGTCTATAAGTATTACAAATATGATTTTTAAAACACATTAGCATGTGATCGGTTCGATACAATTAACAGCAAAAGTCAACTCCGCAAACATGTACTGTTGATGTCAAACAATTGTTTCATTTGTGAAAAATGCGGTTATGAGCCGATAACTCAAGTTAAAGGAACAATTTAGTGAATGTCAATGTAGACCATAAATGTTTCTTTATATACATGCTGTACTTTTCATGGTAACAGTGACCTCATTTTAGTGAGGATGCTTTACCTGTAATCAACTTCCTGTCCCTGTAGCATGGTGGGTAGTAGTTCATACATACATCCAATGGCTTTGAATGGCTGGCACATTTCATTCTCTGCTTCTGAAAAATTTCATTTTACACAAGATTTATTGACGAGTGTGTTGTCATGATTAATTTCGAAAATTTCATTTTCAAAATATGAAATTATCTTAACTAACATTCTTTTGAGTCATAGAAAAGACAGAAAAATATTAAAGTTGCTACCTTTCCTGGTTCCGAATTTAGGATGGTTACATCCGTGTCCCATACAGGTACTGTACATCTCCTTATCTTTCTGCCAGTCTCCCATAGCAGGGGCAGCACATCCCTTCTTCATCTCACCGTTGTCGACATGAGTGAAGCATACCTACAATACCAACAGAACCCTCAGCAATAACAGAACCTTCAATTATCATATTGGATTCTCAATTGCTGGTATCACAAAATGATCCTCGATGATCGAAACAGGATCATCAATTATTTTAATATGACCCCTCAATTATTATAAAATTACCCCTAAATTATCATAGAATGATCCCTCAATTGTTATAATATGACCCTCAATTATTATAACAGGTTCCTCAATTGTTATAACAGGACCCTCAATTGTTATAACATGACCTTCAATTGTTATAACATGACCTTCAATTGTTATAACAGGTCCCTCAACATTATAACATGACCCTCAATTGTTATAACAGGACCCTCAAAAGTCATAACATGACCCTCAACTATTATAACAAGACCCTCAAATGTTATTGCATGACCCTCAACTGCTATTACATGACCTCTTATTGTTTTAACAGGACCATCAATTGTTATAACAGGTCCCTTCATCATGACAGCCAATACATGGAGGGTATGCATATTGAGGTTTATAACATGATAACTGAGGATCCTGTTTTGGTAATAATTGAGGATCCTGTTGTGATAAATAATTACCATAACATGACCCTCAGTTATCAAAATAGAGCCCTCAATCTTTAAAGCAGGAACCTCAACTTCATAACAAGTCCATTAATTATTATAACATTATCCTCATATATCATAACAGGATCCTCAATTAAAACAGGGCCATACAATTCATAAGCATTAAATGTTGAGGACAGCTACATACCTGGCCGGGTTTACATGTCACCATGGCTTGTTTGTTACAGGCCTCGTTGTCGTGGAAATTGTCACAGCTATAGCATTTCAACTCTGTAAAAATATCGTAAACTGTCACATAGGTTTCTTTGTTTTATAAATCTGAGCTCATCTACCATACCAAGTGTGTCTGTTTATGGCCTAGAATTGCAGGTGAGATTATCTACCTCAACAAATGTTCCAAGTTATGTTGTAGAAATGATAGAGATATGCCATGTGTTGCCAGAAGTGCCTGGTACCATTGTAGAGTGTTGTTCAAAACACACTTGTGAAGTCATCGTTTTGTTTTGACATTATATATACATTATATAGAAGAATGAACAATGAAGCAAGTTATTTACCTGAACCTGTCCATTATGGAGCAGTACTGTCCAGTCGCTGGCCTAATAATCGACACTTATATCAGTCTATCCTCTCACAGAGAAGAAATCTTTCGGCATTTCATCTTTACATAATGTATGTATGTATAATTTACAGAGAGTATGACCTACCTTCACAGAAGTGTCCAGTAATACTGTAGAGGGAGTTGAGTGTCTGGTTGACCATGCCACGAACAGACTCCGGCAACAGCATTAGGGTACTAGAGGTACACTGCCAGGCCCCAACCATGGACATACACAGCTCTTGCTTCCTGTAGGCATGGATGTGCTGGGCCATCTCTAGCAGCTCCATCGTGTGGTTCATGGTAAGGTTGGAACTCTCTAGCATTGCAACATCATACACCGTCTTCAGAATATTCATCATCTCCCAGTCAACAGCATTTTCAAGATCTTTGCCTAAGTTCAAATCCAGTCGTTCAAAGGCGTCTTCATCTCTTTCTTCAAGTTCAAGGTCATTGCCCCGCATTTTGGCCATTTCTATAGCTTTCATCATTTTAGCTTTAACGACCTTGTGTGTCTCGACCTGCATGAAAGTATCACTGTTGCCATAGACAATCAGGTGGGTGATTATCCTGCCAATAACATCTCTCAGCTTCCAGTCCATTTCCATGCTGGTATTACTTCTCGGCGCCGTCATATTGTACCCAGGTACGGTCGCGTTGTTCCTCGTCGTGTTACCATGCATGGTCATATTATTCCTCGTCATGTTTTCTCTGTCGTCAAATCGGTCTCTAACCATCTTGATCAGGTCGCCCAACTCTTGATTGTTTGAGCCGAAGTCCCCGCCAACAGAATCACCTACAGCATTCCTTAGTTCTCCGGCCATAGCTAGTGTCATCATGTTCATGAAATTTTCGTCAGTCTCTACCATTTTTTCGTACATGAAGGCATATCGTACGAGGTATTTCAACCCCGTGGCCAGATCTCCATCAACCTCCATATCTTTACTACACCCATTGTCTCTACTGAGGATGTGTTGGAGTGTCATCAGAGCTTTAGCCATACCCTCCTCGGACCATTTTCCATCGTTCATTACATCATCAGGTTTGGTTGTATTTGCGGAAGTGGTGTTATTTCTGCTCATATTCATTCTATCGTCGTACATGTGCATCTTCATATAACCCAATGCATAACTAGTCTCGTAAGTTTTCTTATTCAGCAAGACGATGGCAGCCATCTTCCACATGGAACTGGTAATACAGGTTTGTACTGGCATCTTGTAACACATCTTGGTTAGCTTGGACAGGGCCGGCTCCATGGTCTCGTGGACACGGTACATTGTGCGCTCGTCACAATGCAGTCTCTCTACACACTTAGCTGCCACGGCAAGTTGTCTGAAACACATCAAGTAGTGAATTTAAACAAGATAAAATAGACAGTCTTCAACCTTATAACTGTATGGTGGGAAACAACAAATTCCAAGTTCCAAAAAAGGAGAAGTTTAAAGAAAGGATAAAAAGTCTGAAAGCTAACATGGCTTGTTAAGAACCATCAAATGTCAAGTGACATGACATGGCATGATAAGAACCACCAGAAAATTAAATAACACAAACAATCCTGTAAGTTCCAAGCAAAAAGGCAGAGTATTAGAAGCAATCCATTGCCTCTCCAACTCAAGACAAACTTCGGTATCAAAAATTAACACATATTGTTACTCTGGTGTATTTATTTGGGCACAGTTTTAAGATGCGACAATGGACCACCCCAAGACATTCCTATAAACTTGCAAATTGTGGGTGTTAAAGTATATATATGCTCCTCCAGAAAGAGAGGCAAACAAATGAACAAAGGGCCATAACTCAGTTATATTTGGACACAAGATGCACATCAACTAATGAATGGAACACTCTGCCATCCCAAGATGTACCCACATTTAAAATTTGGAAAACTGTAAATGAAAGAGTAATTGAGATCTGTATTGGACGAGTGATGCAGTAATGGATTGACTGACTAACGAACTGAGAGCAAACCTATAGTTCCTTCCTATAGTACATCGTATTGGTTGGGGACTAAAAAGGAAACACATAACTCACCTTCTTTAATTTCTTGCAGAATCTTTAATCTTGTCGACAGGTATTACAGAGAACCTGACTGAGACTTGTGTACCCTATTTTTTAATGTATTACCCACAGAATTTGATGTTGGTCCGAGGTGAGTTATGTCAGACATCGAGTAAGACTTTAACGTTTGTGAAGGAATTACGGTATGCAACTGTGTACCAACTTATACTTACTCGCAGACGTGCACATTGGCTGGTAGTTTGTCGTCTATGATAGCGGCCACGTGTAGCTGGATAGGGCGGTAACATCTGGTGATGGCCACGGGATCACACGAGCGTTGATCACGACAGTGCTCTTCCACATGGACTTGACACTTATCGCCCATCTTCCTCATTGTGTGATTGGCCATCATTTTAAAGACCATTGACTTGGCCCAATCACAGCCTTCAGTGGAGAGTAGGTAACCTCTTATCGCAAACGCATATTTACTGTAAATGTAAAATATTCCATTCTTATCATCTATTTACATTTGCACTGCAACCCACTATATGAACATTACCAGCAGAATTGCATTTCATTTGAGTATAAAAGCAGAAACTCTTCTGACATGTACGTGGTTTAATTATGACGTTATAAATTAACCTTGTTCAAAAAGAGTCTTGTCGCTTCGGATAACATGGAGAATGCCCCTGCATCAAATGCTCAAATGACTATGGTAAATTATTGGCGCCAATATTATTTAAATATGGCTGTTCTGCCAATGTCGTTTAAAAGACAACGCACAAACAAAACAATGATTAACTAAGGTAAAAATGTAAATATATGGATTGACCAGCGTTTTTTTTTTAAATTTCCATGCCCGTGTGAACGCAAATTTGTTACATCCATAATAGACATTAAGCCCTAAACGTTATGTTGCCCTTTATCCCTCAAGTAACAACCCCCCCCCCCCCCCCCCCAAATCATCATATGCTAAAATATAAATTGCTGTAAAATGTAGAACTGAAGATAATCTTTGATTTCCAATGCTATAAAACTGGTTTTATTTTGAAAATATTTGACCCCATCCGTCTGGCCCTGGGGTCATATTTAAAATCCAAAAGTGTTGTGCACTTCTCCTTACATATATATCTACAATGACTTCAAGTTTCAAGTTCCTACCTTGGAGAAGAAGTTGTTTAAAGGGAAACTGTTTAATTTTCCCCTTAGGGCCCCGCCCACCAGTGTCCCCTGGGGGATCAGGGTTTGTACCATCTTGAATCCCCTTCCCCTCAGGATGTATCCTGCCATATTTGGTTGAAATCTGCCTAGTACTTTTAGACGCAATGTATTTAAAGGTATACGGTCAAATTTACCCCTTTTGGCCACGCCTATCTGTCCCCTGGGGGGTCAGGGACTTCATTTGTACAATCTTGAATCCCCTTCCCCTAAAGATGCTCCCTGTCAAATTTGGCTGAAATCTACCAAATAGTCTTGGAGGAGATGTCATTTAAAGGCAATACTGTCAAATTCACCCCTTTTGGCCGCGCCCATCTGCCCCTGGGGGGGTCAGGGACATCATTTGTACAATCTTGAATCCCCTTCCCCTAAGGATGCCTCCTGCCAAATTTGGTTGAAATCTGCCCAGTAGGTTCAAAATAACTAGAACTTGCCGTAAAAATAATTCCAAAAAACTTGTGTTTTGTACCAACGATGAGGATATATATATGGTCCAATTTGTTGCTAAAAAACCTCCAAACAATTGGTGTAACCATATACATATTACAATGTAAAATTAATTAAAATTTCGATTGAATACCGAAATACAGCTTGCCATAAAACTTTAACCAAGTGGGACGCCGGCGCCGTGGGTACTGCTATAGCCTCCTCCCCCCCCCCCCCTT